GCTCCCCATCTAGCAGGGAGCCCGATGCGGGACTCGATCCCAGGACCCCGGGATCATGACCTGAGCTGAAGGCAGATGCTTAACCATCTGAGCCACCCAGGCGCCCCAAGAATGATTTTTTAAAAAGAGAATATGAAAATGAACTTACTGAGACAAAGAGGGTATGTATTAGATGGGGAAACATTAGCGCCCTTCACTGCCAAAACAAACAAAAAAGGTTGCTTAAGGAATGATTACCTTGCCTTCTTTAGATGGTGTCTCCTCTTTGATGCTGGGTATAATCTTAAATGTAATTGCTCCCTGAGACTGAGCCTGATAACAGAGGAAAGACTTATCAGAGAACTTCTAGAGCCAGGGGGAGGGAAGGCAAAATAGGCAGAAAAGGGAATGATTCTGAAAATTTATAAGCTTGGGGTTTCTACTCTTAGATAAACCAAACTGAGAAAACTATTTTTGTAGAAATTCCTGCAATATGAGAAAGCACTCAAGTTTGTCAAGTAAGTTAAAAAACACTAAACACTAAATCCACTTTTACCTCCTGTGCACTTTCAAAATGCTGATGAATGTATTACCATCCATGTTGAGCTACTTCAGAATAGAAACACAGAATCTGCGGAATGCCTTATACAGACAACATTACAGATGATGTGCAAGGTTCAGACGATATTTTTAAGTATCGGCATCCACGTTTTTAGGAACAAAATACCTGTACTGTCAGCAATGCAGTTATATGATTCACTATCTACAATATATATACATTCACCGCGATGCTAAGCAGAAAAATATAACGAAGAACATTCACTGCTATTATATTCTGGTTAGTGAGTAAAACACCAAATGTAATAGATTAATTAAAAGATGAAAAGATTAAGTACCTATTAATTTAATGAAAGCAAGCGACAACAATACAGGCCATTCTTTTCCGACCATCTCAGACCAGAGCGGATGTCCCTTTCACATACTCTCATGTCCTTCTCTGTTTCTCTCTTTCTAGCATTTCTCACAACTGTACAAAGTAATCATTTATACAATTCTTTCTTTCTTTTTTTTAAAGATTTATTTATTTATTTGAGAGAGCAAGAATGAGAGAGAGAGAGAGAGAGCACATGAGTGGGGGAGGGTCAGAGGGAGAAGCAGGCTCCTTGCCGAGCAGGGAGCCCGATGCGGGACTCGATCCCGGGACTCCGGGATCATGACCTGAGCCGAAGGCAGTCGTCTAACCAACTGAGCCACCCAGGTGCCCTATACAATTATTTCTTAATATCTGTTATCTCTGCTAAATTTGAAGCTCCACAAAAGCACTAAGTATCTGGCACATATTTGAGAGGAAGGAGGGAGAAAAGAAAAGAGGAAGATGTGATCAGGCAGAGGAGAGGAAGGAGGAAGGAAGGAGGGAGGGAGAGAGAGAGAGAGAAGGGAGAATGGGTAGCTATCTCTGAGGTGCACTATCGTAAACAAGGGCTCTCTTCTGGGGGGAGGTGGGAGGGGAGGTCCTGATCTGTATTGTTTGCCAATGTCCATGGACCACAGCCAACTTCCATTTACCAGTGTGAAGTCCCTGAAAGCCCAGTTGGGAAAAGCTGCATAGAATCAGCTCTTGCAAATGTAAGGAGCAGCTCCAGGACAGCACAGAGACTCAAGTAAAATGGGGCTTTAACAGTATAAGTATCAGAATTTTATAACAGGAGTGATTTCAAAAGGGTAATATCACTGTTATTACTTATCATAAAACAACTGACAAATCTTATTAAGAATTTATATAATACCAAACTGCATAGGTAGAGAGAAAGCAAGTCTTCTCTATGATCTCCTTCCAGTCTACTAGTTTGTGTGTGTATGTGTGTGTGTTAATGTGTGCAAAGCCCTTAGAACAAGGTCATTAAGGGCTCAACCACTGTTAGAATTACTAGTATTAAGTCATATAGGTCTACCAGCCATTGTGACTCACATCATGTGGATGAATGATTAGTCAATCAATGCAACCTTCTTGCTATTTCTAAATATTTTTTACAATCTTGCTTATATCATACACTTTCCAAATTATTTCTGACGGGTGAATTCCCAACAACTGAATTTCTTGATTAAAGGGTATGCAAATTTAAAATTTTGATGGTTTCAGATAGCCATCTCAAAAGGATCTACTAAATTCATCCCACCACTGGAAACATATGAGTACAGTTATGTGCCTAGAATCGGCTGACTCTAGCCATTATCAAGCTTTCAAATCCCTCCAATCCAATATTTTTCAGTCATCATGTTTTCTTTTGTAAATTTTTCTATAAATATTTTTTCTCTTATTGATTTTTATGAACTCTCTACACATTAAAATACCTTCTATCATATATATGGATAATATTTTTCCTAAGTGTCATGTGTCTTTCAAGTTACATATGGCATCTTTTCCTATAAAGTTTTTAATTCTTACAATCACCTCAGTTATTTTTCTATTTGAATTTCACATCAAGTTTAAAAAGTCTTCCTTTAGGGCGCCTGGGTGGCTCAGTCGGTTAAGCAACTGCCTTCGGCTCAGGTCATGATCTCGGAGTCCCAGGATCAAGTCCTGCATCGGGCTCCCTGCTCAGCAGGGGGTCTGCTTCTCCCTCTGACCCTCTTCCCTCTCGTGCTCTCTGTCTCTC